GATTGTGGTGTCTTCTTCCCCCCCCAATCCTTTATTTGTTTGTATATTTGCTTATTTATTTTTAGCTCACACAAATAAGTGAGAACATGTGGTATTTCTCTTTCTGTGCCTGACTTATTTCACTTAATATAATTTTCTCTAAGAACATCCAAGTTGTTGCGAATGGTAGTATTTCACTCTTTTTTATAACGGGGTAGTATTCCATTGTGTAGATATACCACAGTTTCCTTATCCACTCGTGTGATGATGGACTTTGGGGCTGGTTCCAACTCTTGGCTATTGTAAATAGTGCTGCAGTAAACATGGGAGTACAGGTATCCTTTCGGCATGATGATTTCCATTCCTCTGGGTATATTCCCAGAAGTGGAATAGCTGGGTCATATGGTAGATCTATCTGTAGTTGTTCGCAGAACCTCCATACTGTTTTCCATAAAGGCTGCACCATTTTGCAGTTCCACCAACAGTGTATGACAGTTCCTTTTTCTCTGCAACCTTGTCAGCATTTATCATTCTCAGTCTTTTGGATACTAGCTATCCTATTGGAGTGAGATGGTATCTCAAAGTGGTTTTCGTTTGCATTTCCCGAATGCTAGGTGAGTTTGAGCATTTTTTCATGTGTCTGTTGGCCATTCATATATCTTCCTTTGAGAAATGCCTATTCAGCTCCTTTGCCCATTTTTAAATTGGGTTCTTTGTTTTTTTGCTGTAAAGTTGTTTGAGTTCCTTGTATATTCTGGATATCAATCCTTTGTCATATGTACATTTTGCAAATATTTTCTCCCACTCTGTTGGTTGTCTTTTCACTCTGTTGATTGTTTCTTTTGCTGTGCAGTAGCTTTTTAGTTTCATATTATTCCATTTGTTTATTTTTCCTTTGGTTGCCTGTGATTTGGGGGTCATATTCATGAAGCTTGTACTACTTCCTGGAGTGTTTCCTCTATGTTTTCTTTAAGGAGTTTTATTGTTTCAGGATGTATATTTAATTTGTTAATCCATTTTGAGTTAGTTTTGGTATATGGTGAGAAGTAGGTCTAGTTTCATTCTCCTACATATGAATATCCAGTTTTCCATTTGCTGAAGAGGCAGTCTCTTCCCCAGTGTATAGATTGGTGCCTTTGTCAAAGATCAGATGGCTGTAAGTGTACAGGTTGATTCCTGGGTTCTCTATTCTATTCCATTGATCTGGGTGTCTTTTTTTATTCCAGTACCATGCTGTTTTGGTTATTATAGCTTTGTAGTATAGTTAAAGTCAGGTAGTGTTATGCCTCCAGTTTTATTTTTTTTGCTTAGGATTGCTTTGGTTGTGCGTGGTCTTTTGTTATTCCATATAAATGTCTGGAAAGCTTTTTCCATCTCAGAGAAAAATGTCATTGGAATTTTAATGGGGATTGAACTGAATCTGTAGATCACTTTGGGTAATATGGATATTTTCACAATGTTAATTCTTCCAATCCAAGAGCATGGGATATCTTTCCATCTTCATGTATCCTCTTTAATTTCTCTCAACAGTGGCTTGTAGTTCTCTTCGTAGAGATTTTTCATATCCTTAGTTAATTTTATTCCTAAGTCTTTTATTTTTTTGGTGGCTATTGTAAATGGGCTAGCTTTCTTGTTTTCTTTTTCTTCATGTTCACTATTGGAGTATAGAAATGCTACTGATTTTCGTGTGTTGATTTTGTATCCTGCAAGTTTGCTGAAATCATCTATCAACTCTAACAGTTTTTTCGTAGAGGCTTTAGGCTGTTCAATTCATAGTATCATACCTTCACAAACAGGGATAGTTTGACTTCATCTTTTCCAATCTGGATGCACTTTATTTCCTTCTCTTCTCTGATTGCTCTTGCTTATACTTCCAACACTATGTTGAATAGCAGTGGTGAGAGTGGGCATCCTTGTCTGGTTCCTGTTCAGGATGATATTGTCAGTGGGATTATCATATATGGCTTTAATTGTGTTCAGATACTTTTCATCTATACCTTACTTGTAGAGAGTCTTTATCATGAGTGAATGTTGAATTTTGTCAAATGCTTTTTCAGCATCTATAGAGATGATCATATGGTTTTTGTCTTTGCTTTTATTGATGTGGTGTATCACATTTGTTGATTTGCATATGTTGAACCAACATTGCATCCCGGGGATGAA